ACCGGGGGGGGGGGGGCAGCTCTGAAATGCCTCCCTGGCCTAGAGGAACCCCGTTTAAAATACCAGTTTGCTGGAATAGTCTTTAACCCCCTGGAGAATCAATCGTCTTGTGATCCAGCCACGATGCCCAGGTGGAGCCCTGTCAACAAATCTTGGCTTTTGGCCTGGGGAGGAGGGAGCCCCTGGCTTGGCAGCCTCCCGGCTCTTCCGCGGGCGAGGGAGCCAGGACTCACATAGGTACGCATGAAGCTGCCTCACTGGTCCATCAAAGTCAGCCTTGTCTACTCTGACTGGCAGCGGCTCGCCAGGGTCTCAGGCAGAAGTCCTTCACGTGACCTCCTGCCTGGTGCTTTTAGCTGGAGAGGCCACTGGGGACTGAGCTTGGGACCTTCTATTTATTTATTTATATTTATTTATTTGTGCGATTTCTATCCCGCCTTACCCAATGGCTCAGGGCGGCTAACAACAAGTTTAAAAATTATTGGACAATAAAAACAATAGTACATATATAATAAAAACTGGTGCTTCAAATCTACATATATTATACAAAATGCACAGCAACTCACATTTGCGGCCAATGTTCTTGATAGCGTGAGCGCCAGGAACAGTAATTCCCCAACACAGTCCCCAACACAGTCGGGTGACATCTACCCCCCCCCCGGGATACGGTAGATGGATGGTACATCGTGGTGGTGGTGGTATAGCGATGGCGATGGCGGCGGCTCCTACCCAAAGGCCTGGTGGAAGAGCTCCGTCTTATAGGCCCTGCGGAACTGCACAAGGTCCCATAGGGCCCGGATCTCCTCCAGGAGCTCATTCCACCAGGAAGGAGCCGCCACCGAAAACGCCCTAGATCTGTTGTGGGCCAACCTCACAGTTCGGGGGCCTGGAACTTCCAGGCGATGGAGGTTCCCCGATCTCTGCATGCTGAGCAGATGCTCTGCCACTGAGCCAACGCCCCTCCGGTCCCTGTGGAAGAGTCTTGTAGCTATATGTTGTCGAAGGCTTTCACAGCCGGAGTGCATTAGCTGTTGCAGATTTTCTGGGCTGTGCGGCCGTGGTCTTGTAGGACCTGACGTTTTGCCAGTAGCTGTGACTGGCATCCTCAGAGGTATAACACAGAAAGATGGAGTACTCTCCGTGTCTTGTCGCTGTTGCTGAAAAATGCCCTTTCCCCTGCAGCCTTTCTCAAAGCCGACTGTCGATCACGTGCAGTCCCACCTCGCCAAGAAGCAAGTCCCGCCAAACCTTTTCCAGGTGAGTGTTGGGGTCTGGAAGCCAAAACCAATAAGTGATAACCCCCCCCGCAGTGTGCTGGAAGTCTTGCTTTCGAAGGCCTGCAGGCGGCTGTCTCAGTGATTCAGGAAAGACTGGCTGTTTTCAGGAAGTGGCGGCTCTAGAGAGTGGCACAAAGGCCAGCCAGTCATTGAGCCCGAAGCCATTTGCCGCCTCCCCACCTGGCTGTGCAGGGTGCCGATTGGCTGTCCGTTGTGGCCGGAAGGCACTGCTTCCCCACCTTGTGCAAAATTTTTTTTAAAAGGCCTTTAAAAAACAAAAAACTGGATTGGCTTTTTTTTTTAAAGATCCCAAATAAGCTTGTGAAAGAATAAATGTCCCAAAACAAATGTTTTTGAAAAGCCAGAACTTTTTTGTATTGCGGTTTTATGGGGAGGGAGAAGGAGCAAAATTCGCACTGCAGTTGAACCGGGCCTGCCTGGTGTCAGAGGAAAGGCAAATTTTGCCTGCAGCAAGGAAACCCGGCCCCTCCTGGTGGGAACATGGTCTGTCCGCAGCTTAAAGCAGCTTCCCTCGTGGAAGGGCCGGAAAGGTCTGCTGCTGTTCTTAGAGGTCACCAGGGTCCCAGGGCTGGGTTAAACCTACCAGTTTAAAGAGAGGCGGCAGCACATTTTGCACCCTGGAAGAGGTTCTCCTGGGAAGGGGTCAAAAAAGGTCCCCAGAGAGGTTGGCTGGGGAGAGGGGGAGATGCCCGGATCCTCCTCCGTCAGTTTGGTGTCGTGGTTAAGTGGGCGGACTCTAATCTGGGAGCACCGGGTTTGATTCCCCACGCCTCCTCCACTTGCACCTGACTGGAGTGACCTTGGGCAAGTCGTAGTTCTGATAAGAGCTGTCCTTGAAAAAAAGAGCAGTTTCTGTCAAGACCTCTCTCAGCCCCGCCTACCTCACAGGGTGTCTGTTGTGGGGAGGGGAAGGGAAAGGAGACGGTAAACCACGCTGAGACTCCCAAGTGAAGGGCAGGGGTATAAATCCAATCTCCTGCGTGACTGGTGTGTTCATTCGGTACTGAATTAACATGGTGGGGTGTTCTGGGGGCAGGATCCACCGCCTTTGAAGAGCAAGTGCTGTCCCGCTTGGGAGGGGGCCATGGGGGCTGGGCTGGGCCTTCTAGCATTTCCCATTCACACCACTGGTGTTGTGCGGGAGGCTGGTTCCCGTCAGGTACTTCCGTGTCTTTCCAGCAGCTTAAAACCCAAACTGGTATTAATGCTCAGCCTTGTTGAGCTAGAGTCAGGGTTTTAAACCATCCATGCTTGAATGTGGATCAGATTTTCTGAACTTGTCCAGAGCCTCTTCCCAGCCAGGTGAACATTAGTGTGCCTTTGTAGGTAAAGGACAGTCTCCTGGACTCCGCCAGAGTTCAGCTCCCGCGTTTGCCTGGATCTTGGGGGGGGGGATCCAAGTGGAACGACAGGGGTCTCGCTCTAAGCCTTCGTCCGACTGGATTCTAGTAGTCTCTGTGCTGATCTGTTTGTTTCCTTGTGTTTTTTCCCATAGCCCTACATAGAAGAAATCTGTGACAGCCTGCGGGGGAAAACTTTCCAGGCATTTCTGGAGAGGTATGGTTGTGTGTGGGGGGAGGGGGGCTGCTCACGCATTGTATCCGGCAGCCTTGAGGGGGGCGGGGTGTGTGCATCTTTCCGGCTTCTGCAGATTCTGGAATGCGTAGTGAGAACATAAGAGAAGCCGTGTTGGATCAACCCAATGGCCCATCCATCCCAACACTCTGTGTCTCACACAGTGGCCAAAACCCAGGGGCCATCAAAATTTCCACCAGCGGCGACAGAACTCCAAAAGCCCTCCCACGCTTGCCCCCCAAGCACCAAGAAGACAGAGCATCATCACTCCAGACATGAGAACATAAGAGAAGCCGTGTTGGATCAACCCAATGGCCCATCCATCCCAACACTCTGTGTCTCACACAGTGGCCAAAACCCAGGGGCCATCAAAATTTCCACCAGCGGCGACAGAACTCCAAAAGCCCTCCCACGCTTGCCCCCCAAGCACCAAGAAGACAGAGCATCCCTTTCCCCAGACCGAGAGTGTTCCCATCTGTCCCTCATTGCTAGTAGCCACGGATGGGCTTCTGCTCTGTGGTAGGAAGGAGCAGTCAGACCTGGACAAGAGTTTTATTTATTTATTTTAAAGCATTTATTAGCACCCTTTCACCCTTACGGAGCTCAAGGCGGCTTGGAGCACAGATTAGAAAACATGAAATAAAATACACTGAAAAACCGAGATTTAAGATCTCAATTCAGGACAGCTCATAAAGTCAGCCAGATGCATTCCTAAATGAAAACTTGTCTTCAGCTGCCTCCGAAAGATCGACAGTGAGGGGGCCGGGCGCACTTCTGCGGAGAGGTTGATCCGTAATCGTGGGGCTGCCACCGAAAAGGCCGTCTCTCGTGAACCCAGCAAATGAGCTTCTTTGATCGATTGGGCCTCTCCCTCTGACCTTAATTCCCGGGCAGGGCCAAAATGTGTCCGGGGGGGGGGGCTTGGAACCCGCTGGTCCTTGCAGTCTGGCCATGAGATGCGACTCCAGGAGCCAGTCTGGAAAGAGGGCGAGCAGCGTGCTTGGGTTTGCCCGATCGCCCTGTCTGTCTTGAAGGCAGCTGACTTGGACTCCTCCTCTCCCTTCTGATCCAAACTCCTTTTGATGGGTAAAACGTATGACCTAAGGACCATACGTGTTTCGGCCCCTTTGGGCCTTCCTCAGTGGTCAGTATTCTTTATTTTACAATGACACACATCCAGAAATACATGCATAAAGAATTTTGTATACATATATGACCAGATGTTGCCTTCTTATATGATTTGCATTTGCTACAAGTTTATATAGTGGGCCATAGATAGTAGCTGTGCAAACTCTCCAGATTATTCTGGTAGCGAATGTCCCATTCGTCAGGATGTCTGTCGCTTCCGTCAAAGGTAGTGGTCAAGTTAGGTCCTTAGGTCAGAAGTTTTACCCATCATTTGGATATGTATAACTATCAGCTTTGATGATATAAGCTTTAAGAGTCTGATATTTAGACTATTTCTTTTAACCGTATGTATGTTTTAGTTATGTGTACACCCTAATAAATATTTGTATTTTTTATATAATTCATATGTTAGCTTGACCCTCTTGGATCACAGCTACATTTTGGGTTGAGTCCGCCCCCCCTTTTTTTCTTTGGTTTTTGCCAAACTCCTTTTGTCCTTGGAAGCTTCCCTCCGCTAAGGTTTGCCGTTGGCTTTCCTGGGGCAGATCAGAGCGCATCCCCCAGCAAAGGACTTTTGCATGTTTGAAGCAGCTCCGCCGATTCTGTTTCTCTTTGGCACTAGCAGGGGTCATTTTGTAGAAAAAGAGGTGCAGGAGCTCATTAGCACAACTCATTAGCATATGCCACACCCCCTGACATCACTGGAAGTGTGTCAGAAGGCAACACCCACCGCTCAGGTTCCACTGGACTGTTTTGGATTGCTAGCTATTGGGGGGGGGGGGAACATGCAGAGCTTGTACCTGAATAAAACTTGGTCTTAAAGGTGCCACTGGACTGTTTTGGACTGGGGGGCCGGGGGGGGGGGCTCTGCAATTTACCTGGCTGCTTCTTGCTCCTCGTGGCCCAACTGAGGACTGCTGGGAGCAGGGGGCGGGGCTTGTTGCATGTGCCCGCCCCCCTGGGCTCTTTACTGCTGGAGCTCCGCTCCTGTGCGCTCCTGCAGGAAATGACCCCTGGGCGCTAGAGTTCAGGCAGGGGTCGGTGGCCTCAGTGGCAGAGCATCTGCTATGCATGCAGGAAGTCCCGCCGGGTCCAGTCCCCGGCAGCATCTCCGGCCAAATGCTCTCGGGTGCTGCTGGCAAAGACCTCTGGTGCCCGCTGAGACCCTGGAGAGCGGCTGCCCGTCAGGAGAAGCCACCCCGGCCCGATTCGGCGAAGCCCATGAAAATTGCTTTCTTCTTTGAAAAAGAGACGTGCGGGGCAGTGATAAGGAAATCCTTAGCGTAGTTCACACCACTAAGAGGGATCTAAGAGGGCTTTGGTTAGAATGTGGTTGTACCGAAGAAGCAGAAAATCAGCGGCAGAGAAGGCTCAGCGCAGCTCCCTACAGAGAGGATTCCAGAAGGCAGCGACAGAGCTGGCCGGGCTCAGGGCCAAACTGGACGTGGTTGTTTTCAGAGAGCGTACAGGATACTCCGCGTGGAGGAGCAGAAATGGAGAATTAGCTCCCCTCCTGGTGCTGTTTTTGTTCGGCACAGGAAAATGGCTGGGGAGGGGGAAAGCAGGAGCCCCTCCTGTCCCTGTGGAAGCGTCCTGAGCCCAAACGAGCTGCCCTTTACTTTAAAAAAGCCGTTCCCCACAGCTGCTGTGTGGCTGCCAGGACCCTGCGTTGGGTCCAGGGAAGAACCCGGGCCCAGGTGTTCGGGAAAGCCGGCCTCGTCTGGCCCTCAGTGCCCCCCAGAGCAGGTCCTGGGCCTCCCACCGGAGGTTAAGGATCCTTTGCTGAACCTGGGCTGCTGGTCATTTTGGAGGGCAGCTGGGTCGATCTGCCGTAGCGCAGCTCCGTTCGAGTCCTCCGGTGGCACCTTCCAGACCGACATGGTTTTGGGGGTCTGAGCTCCCGAGAGCCAAAGAATGCTCGTATCCCCCAAAACCTTGTGGGTCTCAAAGGTGCTGCTGAACGGGGTGGAGCTGTTGCGAGCTCTCAGATCTGACGCCTGCTGTTTCCGGCCCTGCTTGCTGGAATGGGGAAGGTCGTCCCCCGGGGCCACGGGGAAACACGTGGGCCTTTGAGCCGCTCCGCTCTGTAGGAGAACAGGGATCGTAATGCAAAGCGCTCTTCCCCAGCGTCGTTCCCCTCCCTGGGGGGCCAGCCAGTTAATCATAGCTGTTTGCGCTAAAAGCCCGTTCCCCTGTTACATACATTAGCTCTGAAGTTGTTCCTTAATTATTTCACAGGGTTCTGCGAAATGTAGAGTTTAATTATTCTTTTCTTCAGATGTACTTGGAGGTTGTTGGGGTTTTTTTTAGCGTGCTACGAATGAGACTCTTACAGAAATAAGAAATATTAAGTCCTGTTTACTGGAATGTTTCCTGTGCCTTCTCTAATTGCCGCCATCCAGAGATCACGCTGAAGAATGCCCTTTAATTAACACCTGCTTGCGGAAGATTTGCCGATCAACAGAGCTTTATGCATTAAAAACGGAGCTCTCGGTGCAGAGTTTTTATTCTCATTAGCATGATGCTGCGTACAATCTGTGCTCTCTTTCTCCCCCCCGCCCCACTCTTGTTTTGCAGTGATAAGTTCACTCGGTTTTGTCAGTGGAAGAACGTAGAACTGAATATTCATGTGAGTAATAAGCAGGGGGGTGGCGTCTGTTTCTGGAAGCAGGAGGGTGGGCAGAGAAGCATCGAGCAGGCCGGTCTCTGGGGGGGCCTGCTGGGGCCGGGAGGGATATGGGCGTCTTGGCCAGATTCAGCAAGGATCAGATTCGGTGTCCCTCAGCAAGAGTGCAGGCTCAGGGTCGCTTGACCCAGATCAGTGACGCCATAATTAACTGCTAAGAGATCTGGAGTCTGTGCTCTTGCTTTGTAAATTTAAAACCAGTCACTGAAGCACGGTGCTTGGGGTGGGGGGAGCCACCCCCATTTAGAAGGACACGTCGTTTCCCCACGATCTTGTCCCACGTCAAGAAAGCTCTCTGCAAGGGGGGAGCCTTTTCTGAGTGCCAAGGAGGCTGGGGCCCGGCCCTTCTTTTCCGGGGGCCTTCCCACCACCCCGGTTCTGAATGTTGTGATTCCTCCTCGGTGGGGAGGGCAGGGCGCAGTGCATGATCACAGGCGCTCGGTTGCGTCACGTCTTCCAGATGAGATCCGTGGCTGCCACGGGAGATTCTGGGGCCAGGCCCAGTTTGCACGAAGCCCTTTTCTGAGCCCAGGGCACTAGGGAAGCACCCTGCTGCTAAAGGGATTTGCACTGCAGGAGTTCCGCCTTCGTCCTAATTCGCCTGTAATGGTTTGCACATGGCTGTTCGGCTTCCAGCGGCTTCTGCTGATTTCCTGGTTTTGCACGAGATCAGAGTCCCCTCCTTGCTTGAGCGAACACCAAGATTTCGTTCTGGTGCTTTCCTCTGGCTTTGGCACAGCCCCCAGTTCCGAACTCAGCTTATCACCTGGGACCCGGCAGGAGGAGGGCTGCTCTTTCCCCACCCCCCACCCCACCCCCATTAAGACGGCTAGAGAGAGTGGCGGTGTACTGCAAGAGCATCTTCTAGGACGTTTTTGAAAGCCTGTGGGATGGCGGTGAAGGCAGCAAAGGAAGAATTCCGTGTGGCCTCCACTGCATTTGCAAGCTCTTGCCCAGCTCACGTTATTTAGAATAATTAGATCTTTAATTTCTCTCCCACAGGGGAACCAAAAAGATAGTAAATTGGCCATTAGCTGACAGGCTTTTGCGAGCTGTTTTGCAGATAAAATCTTGCTGCTCCACCAGGGCTTGCCGGCCACCCTTGATACAGTACGTGAACTGGAGGCTCCTTGGCCGTCATCAGGTCCAGTGTTGGACCGGTTCCGTCGACTCAGGATGAGGTTGACGGGACCCGGGGTGCTGTGGAGCCCACCTCTTGCCTCCTGGACCCGTGTCCGCCATGGCTGGTTAAGGCCGGTGGTGGCGGCATACGGGTCCCCCTGGGAGATATCATCAACTGATCGCTGAGCCCAGGGATATTCCCAGGATCTCTAAAGGAGGCAGTGGTGGGACCGTTCTCGAAGAAACCAACTTTGGACCCTGTTGATCCAGCCAACTACTGATCCGCCCAGTGTCAGACCTCCCATTTCTGGGTAAAGGTCGTTGAGAGAGCGGTAGCGGAACAGCTCCAGGCTCGCCTGGACGATGCCTCTACCCCTAGATCCGTTTCAGTCCGGCTTCCACTCTGCCTACGGGATGGAGAACAGGCTGGTCGTCCTCACGGATGACCTCTGGAGGCACCTGGATTGAGGTAGGTCAGCGCTGCTGTCACTACGTGACTCAGCAGTGTCTGATTACAATCTTTTGACCCACTGCCTCGCAGACACGGGGATATGAGGGACTGCCTTGCAACGGCTTATCTCTTTTCTCCAGGGTCGGGGTCAGAGAGTGGCCCTTGGGGAGAGGATTTCACCGTGTTACCCTTTGGGGTGCAGCGCCCCCCCGGGGGCGATCCTCTCCCCTGTGTCATTCAGCACCTACATGCGTCCTCTCGCCCGGCTAGTCTGGAGGTTTGGGCTGGGTTGCCATCCGTATGCTGATGACACCCAGCTGTATCTGCTGAAGGACGGCCGCCCGGGTGCCGCCCCAGAGGTTCTGGCGAGGGCGTTGGAGGCCGTGGCCGATTGGCTGAAGCAGAGTCGACTGGAATTAAATCCATCTAAGACGGAGGCCCTGTGCCTGAGCTGTGGGGGGGTGGGGGGTGGAACTGGGGATCCGGCTCCCCACCCTCGAAAGGGTGCTGTTCACACCACCTTCAACGATGGGGATGCTTCGCTTTCAGTGAAGGCCCAGGTCACGACCGTTCCCAGATCGGCCTTTTACCAGTTTGGTGTCGTGGTTAAGTGCGCGGACTCTCATCTGGGAGAACTGGGTTTGATTCCTCACTCCTCCACTTGCACCTGGCTGGATGACTTTGGGCAAGCCATAGTTCTGATAAGAGCTGTCCTTGAAAAAGAGCAGTTTCTGTCAGAGCTCTCTCAGCCCCACCTACCTCACAGGGTGTCTGTTGTGGGGAGGGGAAGGGAAAGGAGTTTGTGAGCTGCTCTGAGACTCCTTTGGGTAGTGAAAGACCCAAATCCAATATCTCCAGTTTGGTGTAGTGGTTAAGTGTGCGGACTCTAATTTGGGAGAACTGGGTTTGGTTCCCCACTCCTCCACTTGCACCTGGCTGGGTGACCTTGGGCAAGCCGTAGTTCTGACAAGAGCTGTCCTTGAAAAAGAGCAGTTTCTGTCAGAGCTCTCTCAGCCCCACCTACCTCACAGAGTGTCTGTTGTGGGGAGGGGAAGGGAAAGGAGTTTGTGAGCTGCTCTGAGACTCCTTTGGGTAGTGAAGGGCGGGGTGGGGGGTATAAATCCAATCATCTCCTCCTCATCATCATCATCATCTCTGGCAGGTCAGGCAGTTGTCCCCCTACCTTTCCCCCCGTGACTTAGCCACAGGGAGCCATGCATTGGTCACCTCCAGGCTGGACTACTGTAACTCGCTCTGTGCAGGGCTTCCCTTGACACTGATCTGGAAACTCCAGCCGGTACAAAATGCAGCTGCACGTGGCCTTACTGGGACCTTAGGACGAGCACATATACAGCCTGTGCTCCGGATCAAGTTCAAGGACTTGGTATTGACCTTTAAAGCCCTAAATGGTCTGGGACCGTCATATCTGCAGGACCGTCTCTCCCGCTGTGTCCCTCCAAAGAGCTTTGTGTTCTGCTGATCAACGTCTGCCGGTGATCCCCAGCCCAAAGGAGGTCTGCTTAGCCTCGACTAGATCCAGGGCCTTCTGGGTTCTGGCCCCGGCCTGGTGGAGCAGCCTTCCGACTGAGATCAGAGCCTGGCGGGACTTGCAACCATTCCGCAGGGCCTGTGAAACAGAGCCGTTCCTCAAGGCCTTTGGTTGAGGCGGTGGGCACCTTAGGCTGCCCCCCCCCCCCGCCCTACCCACCCACGCTATTCATCTGTGCTCTGCACGGGTATTGAGTGGTGGGAATTCTTTGCCACTTGTTAAAAATCAGTAGATTGGGTACATGTGCAGGGGCTAGGTTTTTGTGAGTGCGCCTTAATGGCATTATCCCCATCTTGTGAATTATGTATAGAATAGAATTTTAATATTTTATCGTGTTATGTTTTAATTTTTTAGATTGTTATGTTTGCGTGTTGTGAGTTGCCCTGAGCTCGCTGGCGGGGTAGAGTGGGACAAAAATCAAATGAATAAACAAACGGCCCAGGATGCTGCCGAGTGCTGTGCGCCTTGACAGCACTTTGCGAACCAGAAGGGGGATTTAGTGTGTGTGGGGGGGAGGGGGCGTCGGTCATCCGCTGATGTGGAACTCCCCGTGCCCTTCTTTCCCCTTGCAGCTGACCATGAATGACTTCAGCGTGCATCGGATCATCGGCCGGGGAGGCTTTGGGGAAGTCTATGGCTGCCGAAAAGCAGACACGGGGAAAATGCAAGTACTTGTTTGCATTTTAATGAGGGGGGCTTTAATGCGTCTGAGCCAAATCCCACAGAAGCAGAGCGGCCAGCCCGAGGAGGAGGATTGCGTTGCGGTCTGCTCAGCAGTCCCAGTTC